CAGGACTCGCTCTGGATCTGATCATCTCCTCTCTGACCCGTGGTGCTCCCGGGGCCCGGCTGCTGGCCAGCTGCCCGCGCGCTCAGTCCATGGAAACACCTGGAGTTGTTTACCTGTGCGCCGCACCAGCAGACCAGGAGGAGCTGTTCTTCATAACCTGCGCCCGCTGGCGCGCGCGTCTCCATCCACGGCTGTGCCTGTGTCGGACAATATCAGGATGTGTTTAATCAACGCAAGGTCTGTTTCCAACAAGACGTTTATCCTCAATGACTTTTTTAAAGATCAGGAGTTGGATTTTCTGTTCGTCACAGAATCATGGATTCCTGATGGTGAGTCCAGCGCCCTGGTGGAACTACTTCCTCCGGACTGTGTATGTTGCAATGCCCCGCGGCCATCAGGTCGGCGCGGGGGGGGGGATTATTAACAGTTTTTAAAGCAAACTTTGCCTGTAAACAGTTGTCCATCCCGGTGTCCCGCGCCAGCTTTGAGCTGAGCGTTTTTGAACTCGAACACTCTCCTACGGTTCTGTGCGCGCTTGTCTACCGCCCCCCTCGTTCTAAGGACTTCATAAAGTAATTCTCTGACTTTTTGGCTGATATCACACAGATAAACTCACTTTTTGTTTATTGGTGACTTTAATTTGCATGTGTGTTGTCAGGAGAAGCCCTTAGTGAAGGACTTTCTGGATTTATTGGACTCTTTTAATTTAGCTCAGCAGGTGAGCGGCCCCACCCAGGAACATGGTCACACGCTGGACCTCGTTTTAACACGCGATGTCTCTGTTTCTAATTTGAAAATCGGTGACAATGTTTTTTCAGATCACATGCCTGTATTGTTTGACTCCCCCCCACCTTGTCCTACTGCTAAGACGTGCGTTCCTGCACGTACGCGTTCCATTAACCATTTCACTGCTGCTCGTTTTAATGAAGGTTTTAATTCTGAGAGGATCGAACAGCTCTCGGTGTCTCTTACCACTGAGGAGCTAACCTCTCAGTTCAACTCTGCCTGTTTAAATGTTCTGGACCGTGTTGCTCCCCTTAAGACCAGAAAAACAAAACTTAAATCAGAGCCTTGGCTGAATGACGTCACACGAGCCGTTAGGCGGCAGTGTCGCAAAGCTGAACGAAGGTGGAGGAAGGACAGGCTGCAGGTGTCTTTTCAAATGTTAAGGGAGAGTTGGCGTCACTATCAGAAAACCGTTAAAGCTGCCAAATGTAAATTCTTCTCTGATTTAATTGTCTCCAACTCCCACAACCCCCGAGTTCTCTTCTCCACCCTGAACTCAGTTCTACACCTCAGTGAGCCTTCACCTCTGGAAGCCTCAACTGAGCTGTGTGAGAACTTCCTCCATTTCTTTTTAGAAAAAGTGGCAAACACCCGGGCACTCATTTCTCTGCCAGCTCATGATCTGTCCATCCCATCTCAGTGTGTGGCTGTGTTTGACCACTTTGAGCCCATCTCTCTGTCCTCTCTGGAGCAGGTAATGTGCAGCATGAAGCCATCTGGTTCCCCCTTTGATGTGGTCCCCCCTCGACTGCTAAAGGAAGTTTTTCCTACCCTGGGTCCTTTTATTCTCGCTATTCTGAATAGCAGTTTATCCTCAGGTGTGGTGCCAAAGACTTTTAAACATGCTGCTGTCCAGCCCCTCCTGAAAAAACCTAACCTTGACCCCTCAGTCATGTCCAACTTCCGGCCTGTCTCCAGACTCCCATTCACCTCTAAACTACTGGAAAAAATTGTGGAGTCTCAGTTGAAACAGTTTTTGGGGGATCACGCTATCCTTGAGTTATTCCAATCTGGCTTCAAATCTCTCCATAGCACTGAAACTGCTCTACAGATGGTTTTTAATGGCATTTTCATATCCACAGACGCAGATGATTCTGTGCTGCTTGTCCTATTGGACCTTACATCTGCTTTTGACACCATCGACCACAACATCCTCATTTCTAGACTGGAGCAGTGGGTGGGCATCACAGGGTCAGCCCTTAAATGGTTTGGGTCCTACCTCTCTGACAGAACCTTCTGTGTCAATATCAAAGATTTTAGTTTGGCATCGACAGCGCTCCAGTGGGGGGTACCGCAGGGGTCCATCCTCGGTCCCCTTCTCTTTTCTTTATACCTGCTGCCACTAGGTGCTATCTTCCGCAAACACGACATACCCTTTCATTTCTATGCCGATGATTGCCAAATTTACTTCCCCCTGAGGCACAGAGGCACATGCTCTATTCAGCCTCTTCTTGACTGCCTGGCTGACATCCGGGACTGGATGGCTTTAAACTTCTTAAGCTTCAATGAGAAGAAGTCTGAGGCCATGCTGTTCCATCCCAGTGGCTCACTCATGAACCATGACATTGACCTTTTCTTTCTAGCCCCGCTAGAGAAACAAAAGGTCACTAATCTGGGGGTGATAATGGACCCGTCCTTAAAACTCAACAGTCACGTAAACATGATGGTCAAATCCTGTTTTTTTCAGCTGAGACGGCTGTCTAAGCTGAAGTCTATACTCTCCAAGAAGAACCTTGAGACAGTGATCCACACCTTCATAATATCTAGGCTTGATTACTGCAATTCACTTCTGTTTGGAATCAGTCAGTCCTCCATTGCTCGTCTACAACTGGTCCAAAATGCTGCAGCCCGATTTTTAACTGGTACAGGCTATAGAGAGCACATCACGCCAGTTTTGGCCTCCCTGCACTGGCTACCCATTCACCTTCGGATCCAATTCAAAATTCTCATGTATGTTTTTAAATCACTGAACAGTTCCACCCCATCCTATCTCACTGATCTTCTGCAGCCATATGTCCCACCGCGCTCTCTGAGGTCAGCAGACCAGATGCTTCTCTCAGTCCCAGAAACCCGTCGTAAGCTCAGAGGTGACAGGGCTTTCTCTGTTGCAGGTCCACGACTGTGGAATGAGTTGCCACTGAGTGTCCGGCAGGCTCCCACACTCTCAGTCTTTAAGTCTCGCTTGAAGACCCACTTCTATTCGCTTGCCTTTAACACGGTGTGATTTGTTTTGGTCCGGTCTGTTCTCTACTCTGTTGGCCATTTTAGTTAGCTTCTGCTGCTATTTGTATCTGTATTTCTATTTTATGTTTTCCTGTCTGCTGTGCATGTTTGTGTTCTTTTGTACAGCACTTTGGTTGGCCTTGTTGCTGTTTTAAGTGCTCTATAAATAAATATGTATGGTATGGTATATACACATACATACACACATACATACATACATACATATATATTTAATTTTTTTTAATTATTTTTACATATGGGAGCAAGTGGATTGTTTTCAAAATGGAACAGTAATATTTGGTGTGGTAGTAGCAGACAGTAGTACACAACACACGCTGGCAGTGTGTGCATCACATGAGGATAAGAAGAATGGTTTTTCACTAAGCTTTTAGTAAAGTGGCTAAAAGTGATTTCTCAACATGGTGGTCAGTGTAAAAGTCCAGCATGCAAGATAGCTGAAATACAAAGCATTTATTTTAAATTGTATTTATGGATTTTTTGGAAAATGTTGATACAAATGTACGAACACAGTCGTGTTTGAAATGAGTGCACCTGAGTGTGCGCGTTAGATTTAAGCAGGCAGGAACAGCGCAGCAGCATTTACACTTCAATGTGTGTTGCTCCTTCAGCTCAGGAATGGATGTCTCTGAGCTTTGAGTTCCTCAGACACCAGGAATCCACTGGTTTGTGCACAAGACCCGTGTGTGCGCGTCCTTCAAGGTGCGTGTGGGCGGTGTTGCACACATCCTTCTTGTTTCAGCTGTGGGTGGTGTCGGCTTGTTACGAACGTGAATCTACGTGTACGAGTTTGAGAGAGGAGCTGCAGAGGGGACAGGATGTGCGTGGCGCTGCACGGACAAACTCCACATCGCTGTATGCGAGTCCCCGTGCGTGTGTAGCCGTGCGTGTGCAGCTGGTGTTAGTTGGAGCTGTGCGCAGGCTGGGCGCTCTGCGTGAGGCTTCCTGCTGCACCCACCAGACCAACACGCGCCCAGCTGTCACTGCACCTGTCACAGGTAAGTGCTGGCGAGTCCCTTCCACGCAGTGACACGTGAGGCGTGAAAGATGAGCGCGGCGCTGACTCGCGCCCACAGGAGCCAGCCCGTCAGCTGCTGCCTTGCTCATCGGCAGTTAGCTAGCTACTACCGCTCGGTTAGCATGCTTAGCGCGTGAGCTCGCTGGTGACCAGGCGCGGTGTATTTCTGTATAAAACGCGTTGATCCGTGTTTCAGTAGAAAGACGGCCTTCATTCGCAGTGTAGATGGAAATGTTTCGTTCATGTTTCCGCGCCAGACCTCAGCGGGCTAACAGCAACAGCTAACAGCAACAGCTAACGGCAACAGCTAACGGCAACAGCTAGCGCTAGCTAAGGCTAGCGGCTAGCAGCTTGCTGTTAGCTGTTGCTGTTAGCTGTTGCCGTTAGCTGTTCGATCATTGCGCAAACGTTGTTTGGTTCAAAAAGCAGGTCACAAACCTTCACAGCCTTCACTAACGAGATGGATTAATGTGTTGGCGCCTTCTACCCGAGTCCTGGCGCCCTCCTCTACTCGGCTAAAAGTAAAAATGTCCATAGTTTTCTGTTAGCGGCCACCTACTGCGTGGAATGAGTGAAGTGACCCAGGGAGCCCCGAGCGACGGCTCGCGCATGAAGCACGTGCTGGCACCTGTCCGAACCAGGTACTGATGCACGCGACTCCTCTGATCAACCGGTCGCTGCTCAGCTGTTCACCTCCCAATGATTAGCTGCTGTAGAGGAAACGGAGCTCCGAGCCACAAGAACCGTTAACAGTCTTCACCTTCTCAGGGAGCGGGACAGTCTGCTGACATTATGAGCCCACATGCCACCAGGTGACTCTGATTTAATTTCACTGTTTTCACAGGTGATGAGAAGCTGGTGAACCCTGCACCAGTGGTCTGAGCACCTGCACCAGTGACCTGAGCACCTGCACCAGTGACCTGAGCACCTGCACCAGTG